CAGGAAGGGGTTCTAGTCTCAGTTTTGCTAGAAGTGACCCTGGGCAAGTCATTTAACTTCCCTGGGCTTCAGTTCTCTCAATGGTTAGACCAAATGATCTCTGAAGGTCTCACCTAGCTCAAAAACTCTATGACTCAACTTGCTTTCTTTCAATTCACTTTCCTTCAGCTACAGATAGGATAAAATAAGGATGATAACATCTACATTACCTACCATTTCCCTCTCCAGATAATGGAAAACACTGGAATAGGTAATTCAGAAGTCATTTCTGTTTGTCTTTGAAGTGCATTTTTGAACTTATATTTGAATGCAGATGTGTTCCAAATATCTTGGGAAATCACATTTCAGTTAAAATAATGGAGAAACATAGTGATGACTGTAGTCAGAAGAAACCAGAATACTATCCAGCTCTGACAGGCACCAAGGCACGCCTAGGACTATTTCCACATTTGGAATATGAAAGGCTTGGAGCAGGTGACCGCCGAGGTCGCTTGTTGCTCTAAAAGACCATGTGCCTGTGGTTTCCCCATCTTCCACTACTCTTCCCCATCTCTTTAGGGATGAATTGCATCACTTCTCAGGTGGATGGAAACATAAACTGAATTTCATTAGTTATTTCACTTGCTTATATCCTCCCTAAGGAGAGAGAAGGGTAATTAAAGGGAACCTGAATGTGGGGAGGAAACAAAACTTCAGCTCCTTATTAGTGGTGTGATACTGGGCAAGTCTCTTCACCTCTTCCAGTTTTGGAGAAAAATGAAAGGAAGATGACTTTATCGATAACGATTGATAGTAAGAGGGATAAATTAAGGTCCCTTCTAGCTCTAAAAGCCAAGATGCCAAAGACTGCAAGTTCAGGAAGTACAAACAAGGGGAAAGGGGTGAAAATGTCCACAAAAGAAAGGGAAACAAAGTAACAGGTGTTACATGGTTTCCTAACCCATCTACCAAGGGAAAAGACCAACTACAAGATGATAGCTGGATGGGTAACTTTAGAGACTTTGTACTTTGGAGGGGAAAAGCTGGAAGAAGAAAGTTCCCAGCCAAAGAAGTTGCCAAGTGAGTCACAAGGAGCAAGAGAGGAGAGGAACTGAGGGGGGAGGACACAGACAAACCACCAGTTCAGTTACTGGTACAGTCAAGCCTTCTGATCTCTAGGAAGGTGCTTACCAATACCATCTGGATGTGTAAAGAGGGCAACTTTTAAGAGTCTAGAATAAAATAATATGTCCAGTCAGTGCTTGTCCAAGATCCATTAGAAAATCTGAGTTGGCAGAAAGACACTATTCACCTAAAATAACTACAGGATAAGATAAAGACAATAAATGTGTGGAAACTATGTTTAGATATTTTTCTTATTTCCTATAACTCCATTACAAGTTAGTTCAGTGAAAACGTCCTGCCACTTAATACAGTGGCCTTGACACGCGCTAACAATGTAACTTCTCCACTGAGAGGGTGAGGTCAGCGGCTCCATGATTCAAGCCTGGCCCCCCTCAGTCCTTGTCTGCCATCAGGACATGAGGAGGCTGGGTTTCTGGCAGGTACACATTGGCTGCTGCCCTCTGCTGGCAAAGAGAGCCCTGCACAGTGGAGACAAGTCCAAGGGCAGTACCAAATACAGTAGTCAGCTCTAACTAGGTATAAAACATAATGTGGATGAGATGGCTATAACTGTAGACATCAGAGTTCCAGGTGGTTCAGGACAGACTAATTTCACGAAAAGAATGCTTAATGAGGCTTAACAAATGATTTAGCCTTTGTCAAACCATGTGGCCTAAACTGTTTCAGAAAATATAGTCAACCAATTATAAAACGTCGCTTTATAAGCAGCTTCTCATCTTAAACCAGATAAGATAACCCTGAATGCTGTAGATAATGAAAAGACCAAGGGACAAGAAATGACGAGTCTTGGATTTGAATGCTGGTGGGTCACAGTCTTCAGGCCAGGCCTCTCGGCCCTGGCCGATGTGGTACAAGCCTGGTCAAGGCGCCGCCTGCTTCTGTTTCTATTCAGCAAGTCCAAAGTACTGAGTCTCTACTTAGTAGCTTAGGGAAGGGAGAAGAGAGCAAGAGTAGAGTCAGATTCCTCATGTGCATGTTACTGCAAGATGAAGGTAAAAACACAGTGTGGAGGGGTGCAGGCTGAAAGGAGCTGGGGAGCTGGGGGTGGGTTTTAAGGGATGGGCAGGAACTGAACGGGGAAAGCAGCAGAGGGATGATGTTCTGTACGTGAGAGATGAGAAAAGAAAGCACAGGGGTGCGGGCAGTAGATAAGAGTCCACTTTGGTAACATTTTTGGTTATCATGGACCCCTCTGACAGTCGGATGAAGTCTACAGACTCCTCAGAATGTTTTTAAATGCGTAAAAGATAGGATTACAAAGGAAACAATTTATATTGGAATACAGATATCAAAATAGAAAAAACAAACAGAAAGTAAGTTGATGGAGCCCAGGTTGCTAACTCCAGGCAGAGTATAATAAGCACCTGTGGCAGGGAGTAAGAGGAAACAAGGCAGAGAAAATCTGTAGTGCCAGATTCTGGAAGGCCTTCAAGGACTGGCAAAGGAGTTAACAGGGACTGTGGAAGATTTCTAACGTGAGCAGATCTACGCGTAAGGAAGTGGCAGTGTACGACATCGAGCAAATGGGGAGACAGAAAAACCTAGAAGACTCCCAACTCAACTGCACTCCTAGGGGAGAAAGAGGAGTCTGAGCATCTGGGAAACAGATTCAGTAAGGAGGAGTTTTAGAACGAACATTTTAGAGTAATGGTTTCCAAACTTTTTTGGTCACTCTACCCATCAGTAAAAAATGTTTGACTACGTACTTTTCTACAGCTATATTTACTTATTTTCTAAATTATATACATGTAATTCTGTATTAGTAGTCTGAATTATGCACATTACAATTTATGTGCATTATACAACTTAGATAAAAACAAATTAAATTAAAAATAAAAACAGAGATCAAAAAGGAGAAAATGAAGATGAAACAATATTTGACCCTAATGTCAACAGGGAGACATTAGCAGTGAACTGACGTGGTAAGATCTAGGCCTGAGGAATAGTAACTGGGCAGCTGCGTAGAGCGGAGATGTCAAACTCACAGCCTGCAATATGGCCCACAACACTCCCAAGTGTGGCCCAAACAAGACTGAAATGTCACTGGGAAACACTGAACAAGATAAATAAAAATACAATAAAGCACAGGTAACGAAAAAACTAAGTCACTCTGTGGCCCACAGGGATCCCTGCTGCTGCTGCTGCTGCTGCTGCTTGTCTGCCCTTCTCGAAGAGGACCAGGCCATCAGGGCCCATCTGGGTCCAGTGGCCAGATGTGGATCAAGATGAATGGAGATGGCCCAGACTGTTGGAGATGCAGAAGAAGACCATGGCCTTGTCAAGCTAAGGTCTCTAACAGGTCTCAGTCTGACTGAGGCAGTGCCCATTCAGTGATTAAAGCTTAATAAGAAAAAATTCTTGTATGGTGGGTTTGATACCACTGTGTGCAGAGAATGGACAAAGAAACCAGGAGACCTGAAACAGCTAGGCAAGAGGTGAAAAGGGATGGAATGAGGGCAGTGGCTGCGTGAGTAGAGAGAAGGCATCAGATGCCAGGGAAGCTGTAGAGAAACAAGATTTGGCCACATGCAAGTGAAGAGTCAAGGACAGCTTGAGTTGGGAACCTGAGGAACTGGAGGGACAACAAAAATGGGAAAGGTGGGTTTAGGGGAAAAGATAATGTAACGAGGTCAGCAAGGCTCATCACAAACTATCCATGTGGGGCAGCTGGGTGGTGCAGCGGACAGAGCACTGGCCCCAGAGTCAGGAGGACCCGAGTTCAAATCCGGCCTCAGACACATAACCCTCACTAGCTGTGTGACTCTGGCCAAGTCACTTAACCCCAACTGCCTCACAAAAAAAACCCCCAAAACTATTCACGTGGCTTGATCTGTCCCACTGACAATGGTGCAAGGAGGGAGCTGTCCAGCACCAAGGGCAGCTGCTATAGCCCGGGAGCTGGGGGAGGCAGCCTGTACAGCTACTGCTGGGTGCCTCAGTTTCCGCTCCCCTGTGGGGTCAATGCCTGGAGCAGCTAGGGACGCCGGGGGGAATTCTAAGCAGTAACAGGTAAAGGAAATGGCCGACTTGTGCTGGAGGCAAGTATGTGACCGACTACCAGGGGAGGGACCCATCTCCCTATGTCACCTCCTCATTCAGTAACCTCTAGTGGTTTCCTATTTATATCAAATAGAAAACCTTCTGTCTGCCTTTTAAACCCTTTCCCCTCTGACCTCTCTAGCTTGCTTACATCTTCCTCCTCTCCATGTCCTCTGACACTGGCCTCTTGAATATTCCTTGCCTAAGATTTTATCACCTGATTTCGGACCGGCTGGGGATTCTCTCCCTCCTCATCTCCATGTCTCAGCTAAAATCGCACCTTTGACAAGAAGTTTTTGTCTTTCCCTTTTTAATGCTAGTGCCCTCCTCCTGCTAATTATGTCCACTTGACCCCCCTGTATTTCTTGTGAACTCCTCCAGAGCAGAGACAGGATACTGGTGTACCCCGCCCCCATCCTCCTTGCTTAGGACAGTGCCTGGCACACGATAGGCACTTAACAAATGCTTATTAATTTCCCATCCTCTAACTAGCTGATTATATACTTCCTGGGGCTCTGGCATGTCCCTTGCTTTGGACACCAATTCTCTGGAAAGCCATGTAGAACTTGTAATGTGTAGGCCAGGCCCTCAAATGTCACCTCTCACTGTTTGATTCCTCAGACTAGCAGACTAGAGTCATGGTATCCCACCGTAGTTTCTCAAAGTTGACCTCCATTTTTGGGGCTTCCCCAATGTGCCACCTGACGCAAAGCATGACCAAGGAGGCATTTAACGAAGGAATGAGAAACGAGCAACGATAAGCATCTGACCAGTGGCAATGCTGCCCCTGAAATCAAGGGCTGCATCACACTGGGGTTTCCGAAGTTCTTTCTTACCAGCTGTTAGGATGCCTTTGGTGCTCTGCATTACACTAGAAGGTCTCACGATTCCTGAAAGTCCTGTACCCAGGAAGAATATCAAACACAGATGTTAGTCATTTGAAAAGCTTTGAAGACCGAACTGAAGAGAGTATGCTTTGCCATGGGCCCAATAAAATTAGGAAAAGTGATTTCTGTTTTAATGTCACACAGATTTTACATCTGTTAAAGGCTCCTCATTCAATTATCTTTATCAAATATCTGTTAAATGCTTTAAGTGCTGGATGCTAAATAACAAATCCTGCCCCCAAAATAACAACAAAAACTCCATAAACCAAAACAGCCCAGTCCTGAAGGTAAAACAGTATTTTCATCCTTTCTTTGATTTGAGTAGACAACAGCTATTAAATTACAAACTGGGTCATGAAAAGAGATTAAAAAAAAAAACAACACAAAAAACCCCATTTGTCCAATGACTTTTAATAATGCTTCAAAAGATACAAATTCAGAGTAGGTCCTCATTTATCTGAGTATATGCTCTGAAAATTTGGCAGTGTTTACTGAGGTAATACTCATACATGTTACAACTCATATGAGATAATGGCAATAGCAGTTACTTGTATCTCAATAACTATGAATGAAAATACAACACATCCATTGAAAGTGGGGCACCTTCAGGTTCATGTTTTTTTCCTGGCTTATCTGATGAAGTAAAATTAACATCCTGAGAAGGAAATATGTTTCTAATGCTTTATTTTACACTGTATATTAGTCTTTTAAGCTAATATGAGGCATTAGTCATAGTTTACGAAATATTTTTAAGGCTGTAGGAAGGCCTGAGTTCAAACCCTGTCTCTGACACTTACTACTTATGTGACCCTGGATAATCACTTAAAACTCTCTCAGTTTCCATTTCCTCATCTGTAAAACGGAAACAACAGCCCCCACCTCACAGGGTTGTAGTAAGGCTCAAATGAGACAATATTTGCAAAGAACTTTGTAAGCCTTAAAATACTTTATAAATCTTAGATATTATTACTGAGACATTAGGCATTATTATTAGTTCACTGAAGAAAGTCGTGGATCTATCATCATAAAAATGTATCCATTTGCTAGCCCAGATGACTGCTCCTAGAACACATTAATATAGTTCTTGTTTTTAAGTCAATCACAGGAAGACATAAGAGTTATCTCCCTCCAATTCTTTGCAGAAGTGGGGGGACCATGAGTGTGGAATATTACATACCCTTCCAAAAAGGGGTGGGAAGAAATGTACGTTTGGAAGAACAACCTCCAATTATTGATGCTTTCTTTCCTTCTTAGAGATAATATCGAAAGGATGCTTCCCTTCTAGATGATCAAGTGAAAATATGATTCATAAGCTGTTTTCTTCTCCAGGGCCAACACTCCCTTGATGACAAACTAAAAAACCTACCTTGCCGTACCACGTTCCCGCAGTCAGGATCATGAGCCACTTGCAGTAAAGTCTCTTCCACATCTCTGTTTTTCCCTGGAGTGTCCATAAGATAACTTATTTCTTGTTGCAGCGTTTTTGGCAAAGTCATTAGCTGAGTGAATTGGGCTTCTGGGCTTTTATCTATCTGAGTTAATAATAACAACAATAATAATAATGAAAAAGTCAATCAGGGAAGTGTTCTGAAGCCAATCAACCAAAGCTCTAGAAGCTACTCTGTCAAACATGCCAACACCCACCCCTCAGAATAAGACTCCTAGGCTGAGTGCAGAAATGTAGAGAATTATGGGGACCCTTCAATAAAGCTATTTTTCCATATTGTTTCATATCTATAGAAAAAAAAAGACACTTTCCTTTCAAAGGTCAGTTTTTGTTCTGTTCTTCAGGTTTAAGGTTAAGACGACTGACATCATGGCTTAGTAAATACCTGACACTTGGAACTGATTATTATTTTCTTAAATACTGTATTTCAGGTGGGGTGGAACCAAGATGGTGAATTAGGGGGAGCCAGCTAGATAAATTCTCCCAATATTCCCCTCCAAACACCTTTAAAATAACATCTCAAATCAAATTTTGGAGTGGCAAAGCCAATAAAAAGTTGGAGTGAGATATTTTTCTGGCCTAAGAAAGCTTAACAGGTAGGTAGGAGAAGTCTGTAACACTGGGGTGGAGGTCTGTCTGGAGCCCACACACTTGGTGGTGGTGGTGGTGGCGGCGGCGGCAGCAGCAGCTTTGGAGGCTCTCAGCCCAGAGATGATGACGCAATCTGACAAGAGCTCAGAGACAGATGAGAGGGAACCCTTGCCTGCGCTGGGTACAACTCTATTGCCCTTACCCAGTTCTGGGTTACAGTCCCAAGACGGAGAGGAGCACTGATGGTTGGTCACAAGGGAGCAGTGGCCCTGGTCACAGTTCCAAAGCAAAGAGGAGGGCTAGCGTGTGCAGCTGCAGGGCACTATGTCAAAGATCAGGAGTGCAGTAACTATACCCCTCAGCTATCACAAAACTGACTAGATTGTAAAGCTCCTGTAGGGACCAAATTCCTGGAGCACATAAACAGTGCCTAACTTATTACCAGAACACCACAGCACCAAGAAATAACTTTGTCATATAAATAGTAGGTGTTTAGTATTTGCTGAATGAATTAATAAAACTGGATTCCTGAAGAGAAATATGACTTCAAAGATAAGAGATCAATAGTCATATTCTAATTTTTAAAAATTATTCATTCTTCCTGAAGTTTTTATTTAACTGATTAAACCAGAGTAATAGATATCATCAGAGAAATGTTTGACCAGAAAGATGGATTAGTCATACAGTAAAATGAAGGTCAACTGCTGGATAGCCCACACACACCAATGACATCTTACAGTAGTAAGAAAAATTGAGCAAGGCCTCTATCAAACATGTTGGGTAGATCCCCAAGGCAAACTCATGGAAGGACATGGATAGGATGGGCAGGCCTGAAGTTGCCATCTCCAGTGATGACATGAGAGATCTATCTAAATGCTAATTAATAACTGTTTCTTCTCCATATACAGAACAGAACAGAGTTACAAATTTAGTAAAGAAATTATAACATGTAAAGGACAAACCACAGTGAAAATTTTTCAGTTTTATGCCCTTGTTGAAAATCAACACAGCTCTCTTTATGTGTAATAGTGAAAAACTAGAAAAAAATCCAAGTGTCTAATGATTGTGGAACGGTTAAATAAATCATGCATATTGATAGAGTGGAGTACTACTGTGCTGCAAAAAGGGGCAAATGGGAAGACCATAAAGAGCTATGGGAAAACCTAGACAAAAAGATGTAAAGAAAATTCAGCAGAACACCACCACATACACATTAACCACAACCAAATAACTTTCAAAAACACCATAAAAGCAATGGACCTTTACAAGCAGAAGAATTCTTTAACGGGAAATTGAACATATATATTATTATTGTTGTTGTTATTACTTTCTTCAAATTTATACTACATTGTGGTTTTAAAATCAAAACAGAAATAATTTGAATTTTAGAGTCTTATTTGGAGATTTATTCCATATATGGTTCAATGATTCTTCAATACAGAGAATGCTGAGTCTACTATTTTAAGAATATCAATCCTGATTAAAATCGTCCTAAATGAGCCATCTTAAATGAGTCCACACTCTATTAAATCTTGCTTAAGTAAGTTTAAATATGAACCATTCAAACGACAAAAAGCCAAGCACTGAAAGATACTTATTTGCTTTATTTTGCTCTCTGTGTACTTCCTTGGTAGAGAATGATCTAACAAACAATTCTGAGCGGGGTGAGCTGGCCAAGCCTTGGTACCTGCTTGGTAAAGTAAGTTATTGCTCACTCTGGGCTATAGTTTTGCCAGCTGCAAAGTGAAGAGCCTGGACTCTAAGCTCTTTAAGGTCCCTTTTGGTTCTAATGCCCGAGTTTACAAGTGCATATAAACGTATGCTCCCATCACTGGCCTAGGTGAAAAAACCCTGCGAAAGGAATCCATTCAGAACCAACGTCATGACCACTTCATGCTTCTGTACTTGAGGGGCCCGGGACTTCATGGGGATGGGCTCTCCCTCCATATCTTAGTAAATGGTCTTCAAGGGAAGCTGTGGCCAAAAAAAGTCATCACCCTACAGCCCTCCAGGTGACGGGCCTCTCTGAGCTAAGCTAGGCTGGTCCTAGGACAAGAGACACACAGTCTATCATGAGGCCTGTATCTGAAGTCTTTCCAGTTTGGTAGGTTTGTCAGGACCCTGTGCTCGGTGGGCAGAGCCTCCAAGAATCCAGAGTCACCTACATATCACAATGAGACAAGACTTTTTTTTTTTTTAACCAGGAGAATGGTTACATAATAACTTATTCTTACACACCATGGGCCTATTGCAGATTAGGGTTGGTAGAGGGCTTATGCTCAGTTGGTTAGTCTTCTCATTGGTCAGATGAAGAGGCTAAGATCCAGAGAGATTAAAAGATTTGTCTGAAGTCACATGACAAGTTAGAAGAGTTAGGACTAGTGTCCAGACTGCCTGACCCCCAGTCCACATGTGCCTTTACCTCTGCTGGGCTCAGTCCTCAGTGACATTAACTTGAGAATTGTTTTACTCAATGGGAGTGAGAAGAGAGATTCAGGAACCAGGACAGTTGGTCCATGGAACCTGAGGGTTCGTCCTTTACTTGGGCCTAACGTATGAATTCTCTTCTTTGGTACGTCTGTGATCTCACTGGCACAGGTGGTACTCCTTCTAACAGTACATATGGCAAACTAGTCACATCTTTTCATCTTGAAACATAAAGAACTGATAGAAAGTAACTAATATCACTCCTTTCTTTTGAAGAAGACAATGTATTATAGTTTACCTAGCAGCAATGTTTAGGGATCATCACATTCTGCTTTAAAGAATTTAGAGTTTTGTTTGTAAATGTTTTTGTAACTTATAAGTATGTAAGTATTTTTTAAAAAATATGGTGGTATAACACACTTCACATCCTGATCATTAGCAGCAAACCCAAATTAGAGATAATAGTTAGCATTTATATAGCACTTTACAGTTTGCAAAGCAATTCACAAATATCTCATTTTATCCTCACAACCCTGTAAGGTAGTCACAATTATCTGGATTCTATATTTAAAAACTATTTGTAGTCACTAATTTTATTATCATAACCTTGGTTACTAATGCTCTGGTTATCTTGACTACTCAAATTCCCAAGTTTTACTCAATATCCATGAATTGTGCTGCCACAATAACATCTATGAATATAAGTGGATATTGCTTAATTTGCATGCACTAGGCTGAGAAAGACTGACCATCAAATAATTGTGAGCCATTTTTTAATGGACTTATTTAAAGACTGATTCTCAACTAACAGAAACCAAGTGATCCATCAGCAATGTGATCAATTTCAACCAATTTCCAAGGTTCCTTACACTTCCTGAACGGACACTGACTGTAGCTGACATGGAGAGCAAAGGAGGCAGAGTTGTGTAAATGCTCATCTGCCATTACAACTTTTGCCTTTAAAGAAGCCTCTCATGTATCCAAGAATTGTCTGGGAAATGCTGGTTTAGGCTAATTTCCAAATGCAATGAAGGGTGGTTCTTCATAGCGTCCCTGATAGATGGACATAAATCTTTGAATACGTCTAATGAGGGAGTTCACTAACTAACAACAAGTCCATTCTCTTTCTAAAAAAAATATATTGAATGATTATATTACAATCTGTAACAGTGCTAGGAGTACCCACACCAGTGAGACCACAGAGCCATCTGAATATGCTGTCACGTGATGAAAAATGCTATCCAATACTTCCCGAGAAAGAACTGATGAACTCTGAGTGCAGATTGAAGCCAACTTTCTTCCCTTACTTTATGGTTCTTGCTTTTTTTTTTTTTTTTTTTGCAACATGGCTACTATGGAAGCATGTTCTGCATAACTTCACATGTATTATGGGTATCATACTGTTCGCCTTCTCAGGCTCTGCCAAGTCCTACCAAGCTGGAGAGACCCATCACCAGGCGGGGAAAGGTGATACATGTCAGGCCACCTACTGTGTCAAAGACAGGCTGTGATCCACCCATGTGGAAGGAACACCCAGACTGAAGTACAGTCACGCTACCTCGAGCTGGCCTTGATTTTGCTTGTACAACACCTGGGGGTTCTGGACGAGAATCTGACCATACAGCTCACGAAAATGAGGAATGTTGGGCTTCACAATGTTCACCACCTTCCCTTTCTCCTCTCCCATCAGCATCCGAAAGTCACCTAGTCAAAACAAAAGGAAAAAGCCCTCAAAGCAAAAATCAAGGCTGCAACACATAAAACCTCGGTGTTCATCTTCACATCCACCCTGAGGTTTCTCTACCAAAACAAATCCTTCCTTCTCTGGCTGAAAGAATGGTCAAAGTACAAGGAGGATGAAGATTAGAAGGGGCTAGCTGTGTGACCCTGGGCAAGTCACTTAACTCTGTTGCCTCAGGGGGAAAAAAAAGACTAAAAGGGGAAGGGAAGATCAGTGCAGTGAATGACTGTGCCCCCTACCCAAACTCTGAAATCAATGGCCCAACCAATAATACTGAATTCTAAGTGCTCTTCTTTTTCTTTCCCCTTCAGTCTGCAAAACAAAACCACAAAGTTTCCATAAAGAAAAGAGCTCAGACTTCACAGGACATACTTTTTTTAAAGCAACATTTAAAACTAAAATAACTAATGTCCTAGAAGAGTGAATGAAGGCAGAGGTAGGAAGACATTCTATATTTAAAGAGCTGGAATCATTTTCTGTAAACTGCTGCAGGGCAAAAAAGCTTAGTGATGTGTGGCTCAGCTACCAACAAATGTCACTAAGAAAGCATGGCTTAATTAATGGTCTTCTCTGAACCAAATAAATGAAGGAGCCTACAGACAATGTTGACCATTAGTAAACATAAGATGCAGTTTTTCATTTCCAGAGACCCACAGGCAACCAAAGGTAGTATCATTGAAATACTGAAAACTGGTGTTTACGCTTCAATTGTACTGTTACCTCTCCATTATTCATACTAGGAAAATCCCCAACTACAAGACACATGGCAATCTAAAAGCCCAATCATATGCAATTTGGGAATGTACCCAGACAGACACTCAGCAGCGTTCATACAGACATTCAGAGAGATTCATGTTTAGCTCACCTTGTGACTCTGCCTTAGGTGGGGACAGGAAAGTCAGTGTTTTTCATTATCATGACAGATAAGCAATGAGTGGCTAGTTTTTCTGAGTTTATTTTTTTATGTTCCGATAGTTTTACTACATCTCTATCACTCAAAACTGAAACAGTTCAGGAAAACATAAGCTAGCATGGCAAACTAATTGTCATCTGGACAAAGCCAATCTAAACCAGGGTTTCTAGCAAAGCTTGAAGCATTGCCTCATCTTACTTAAAAACATTCCTACTGCTCTAGAGAGGACACCAAGTGTGGGAGGGACTCGGGAAAGAAATGGTTGATGAGAATATCAACATGGTTTGGAGTCAGTTTTTCTTTCCCTTTCTCATGGTATATGGGAATGCAAAAAACTAAAAGCTCTTTTTGTGAGGAAAGGCTTTCACTTGTGTCAGCTCTAGAGGGAATGAATTCCCTGCTGATTTACTGAGCCTGCTATGGCAAAGTACTCTTCCATCATACCCTAAAAATGACTAATTAAAAAGTAACCTCTGGGAAAAAAAGGCTTCATTTGGGAGCTTAGCAAAGGCTCAGCTTTGCCAAAAAATACAAATTTACTAAGAAACACTCTGTAAAACAGATGCTCAGTTCAGAATAAGTCAATTAACTGCAGCATCTGAAGTGTCAAATGGGATGATGAGACAGAAAGAGGCAGCACAGCAGCGGATAAGTGCTGGGTTTGAGTCAGGTTTGAGTCAAAGCCCTGCCTTGTGGCCTGGGGCAATCCACCTTAACTCTCTGGGCCTTGTTGCTCTAAAGTATCTTAGAGTTCTAGGTCTATGAGTCTAGAAAACAAACTGTCATCAAGGTGAAAAAGAATGTGTTTCTCTAACTTCTAAGATCACTCAAATTCAGAGATGTGGACATGTTTGCACATTGGGATGTGCCCTCTCCCAGGCAATGGTTACTCCCCTGGCCCCTGAACACAAAGCTGAGAGCTTCTTGTTTTGTCTCACTCCTAGAAAAGGCTTAGAATCTGCAACCAGAGTAAATCTGTTCTCTAACCTGACATGAGAGCCATTCCTGTGCAACCTTAAGGTTCCATACAATAGCAGTAGTGATGACAGTCCTGGTCAAATGCATGTGGCCACCCTGATTTCTGGTCATCTAATTTGACCCAGGTTTCTGTCTTTAACACTATCAATGTCACTCTAAGATAGCTTTTGTTGTTGTTTTTTTTTTCAGCCTAGAAAGGTATAAAAGTATAAGTTACATAAGACATCAGTGCTTCTGGATTCTGGGAGATGCCAGAAGCAACAGAAGACACACACCCATGTTTCATCCGCCTGCCCCACATGAATTCAGACTGGGCTTATTGCAACTAAGGTAGGAAAGCATGAGAGCTGGACACCTATGTATGCTGTTGTGGGGCCCACAACAGAAGGCTGCCCCCAGGGCAACTGTCCTCAAGGAGCTTATTCTCTAGGTGGAGAGATCACACAGAATTGTGGCATTTAGAGCTGAAAGGGCCCTTGGACACCATCAAGTGCAGCCACCTCATTTTATTGATGAGGAATGTGTGCTAACATATGAAACTGTGAGCAATAGCTCTAATAATCGAGAAGTCAGGATAATTAGAAGCTAATCTGTGGGGGGTACACCTTATATGTGCTTGAAGAGGAATGAAAATGAATGGGGTCTAACTGAAACCGAGCCCATTTGGAAGACTTCACTTAGGAGGAGGAGCCTGAATGGCCCTTAAAAGGCATACAGGTAGGTAAGTAGGTGGAAGGGAAAGAGGTTCTCTAGAATGGAGGCCCCAGGATTTGGAGCTAGGAGGGACATTATCTATCATCCTGGGTTCAAATCCCAGAGAAGAGAAGTCTTCCCAACCCTCACTCCTTCAAAGATCGTTAGTGACTCCCTCCTGCCTTGGGGCTAAAATACAAAACCTGCCACCTACTTTTCCAGACTTATTCTGTGTTACCCCTCTTTTCCAATTAAACAGGCCTACTAGCTGTATAACATTTTGCCTCCTGCCTTGCTGCTTGGGTGGTGGTCCCCCTACACTGAGAATTTACTACCTTTTCAATTCTATCTCACAGAATCCTGAACCTCTTTTAAAGTCAAGCTCAGGTACCACTTTCTATATGAGGCTGGTTCCTGATCTTTCTCGTGAAATTACCTTGTATATATTTATTTAAGCCCAGGTCTCCTGACTCCAAAGCTAAAGACCACCCAACCACACCACACTGTAACCAGAGGCAGGGGAGGGAAAAGAACAAACATTGATTTATATAGCTCCTACTATGCGGCAGGCACCGTGCTAAGCACTTGACAAATAATCAAAGGATTATTTGATTCTCACAACAATTCTAGGAGGTAGGTGCTGTTATTATCATCCTCATTTAACAGTTAAGGAAACTGAGGCAAAAGTTAAATGACTTGTCTAAGTTCACAGAGCTTAGTGTCTGAGGCTAGATTTAAACTCAGATCTTTCTGCCTCCAGGCCCACTGCTCTATACACTGTGTCATCTGGGTGGCCTCCAAATCAAGGAGAAAGGTATGTAGGCAGGATGTGTGTAAGGGAGAGTAAGACAACCACAAGAACCAAGGGGATGTGTTGCAGTAATGGGAAACAAGGATGGAAGAGGCACGGTCCCTGATGATGGGTATGCACCGATAGGAGGGGAATGCAGATGCAGCAGCACGTAGGGGGAGAAGGGTGATGAAGCCACAAGCCGCTGCAGCCCAAGGTTGGGGAGGCACCTGAAGAGTTGAGACAGCTCCACCGAGTCTAGGCCTCGCTCACCTGCCTGGCAGCGAGCACGCACTAACCGGAGTAGGAGAGGCCGGCGATCTGCACAAAGAGGTCTTCCTCGGAGAAGCTTTCTGGGAGCATGAGAAAAGCTGCTGTGACGGCACTCTCCAGGTTTGATTCCAGGGCTGCCCGGAGCGCAGTGTCCTCCTTCAAGCTCAAGATTCTCACCTGAGGATGGACAAGGGCACAAGGGCTGTTGATGTGGGTCTGTGTCTCTCCTTCCTCCTCCCCCTCTTGCTCCTTTCTTCAGGACCCGGAAGCTTGTTTCTTTCTTCCCTGAACTCTGCCTCTCCCACCCCACCCCTTTCACTGGCTGTACTTCTACACCAACCAGTGTGAGAGCAGAAGTTCAGAAGAAACCGCAGACAATTAGGACAGTTGTAAAGTAATGTGAAAAATGTATTACATATTTTATAAAAAGCAAGCAGTGTGGGGCAGCTAGGTGGCACACTTGGAGTCAGGAGGACCTGAGTTCAAATCTGGCTTCAGACACTTGACACTTACTAGCTGTGTGACCGTGGGCAAGTCACGAGACCCTGATTGCCTCAAAAAAAAAAAAAAAAAAAAAGCAAGTAGTATGAAATGGAGATACAGGGAATCCTCTTTTTATGTTCTGCTATGTGCCATGGCAATGATCCTTTTTTGGTGTTTACATTCAAAATAAAATTTTCAAAGAGCAGTAAGATATAACCAGTATGACATCCCTTAAGTTACATCCTCAAACAAGCAGTGTGGGATTGGTCAAAGTTCTGAATTTACAAAACAGCAAGTGGCACCACAGAGGAGAGAGAACACTTGGACCGAAGTGAGACTGAAATACAAATCGTGCCCCCACACTTCATAGCTGTGTGATTATGGTTAAGTCACTAACCTTGGTTTGCCTCAGTTTCCTCATCTGTAAAATAGGGATCATAACAGCACCAACCACCTTGGGCTGTTGTGAAGACCCAATGGGGTAATATTTGTAAAGTGCTTTGCAAACCTTAAAGTGCTATGTAAATGCTAGCTACTACTATTCTCATTTTGGTTTGTTTTTGCTTTTTGGTGAGGCAATCTGAGTTAAGTGACTTGCCCAGGGTCACACAGCTAGTAAGTATCAAGTGTCTGAGGCTGGAATTGAACTGAGGTTCTCTCAAGTCCAGGGCCAGTGCTCTATCCACTGTGCCACCTAGCTGTTCCAAGCCATTATTATTCTCAAAAACCCTCACCTGATCCTTCCATCCCTGCTCACCATCATTCTATCACTCTTCTTCCCTTTGGAGCTACACTTCCACCTACAACAGGTGCCTCCGCTTTCACTCATCTCTTTCTTCCTAACCCCTCACCATCTGGCTTCTGATCCAGTCATTCTACTGTAGCTGCACTCTCCAAAGTTACCAGTGATCTCTTAGTTGCCCAATCTAATGGCCTCTTCTCAATTCTCATTCTCCCTGACCTCTCTGCAGCCTTGGACACTGTCGATCACTCTCCCCTCCCTGATACTCTCTTTCTCTGTAGGTTTTCCAGATACCCTCTCCTGGTTCTCCTCCTGCCTATCTAGCTCCTCCATGGTCTCATTTGCTGGATCCTCTTCTAGATCATGCTCTTCAACCATAGGTGTCCCTCAGGATTCTGTCCTGGGACCTCTTCTCTTTGCCCTCTATATTGCTGACCTTGGTGATCTCATTGGCTCTAGTGGATTTAATTATCAACTCTATGCTAATGATTCCCAGATCTATGTACCTTTCCTGCCCCATCTTCTGCTGACCTCCCACCTCGAATCTCCAGCTGCCTTTCAGATATCTCGACCTGGATGCCCAACATCTTAAACTCAACATGTCCAAAACTGAATTCATTATCTCCTCCCCAAACCCTCTACCCGTCCTATCTTCCCTGTTATTATAGTGGGCAACACCATCATCCCCGTCCCTCAGGCTCACGACCTAGGAGTGATTCTGGATTCCTCACAATCTCTCACCCTCCATGTCTAAACTGTTGCCAAGGCCTGCCGATTTCACCTGTGCAACATCTCTCGAAGAAGCCTCCTTCTCTCTTCTAACACTGCCCCCTCCCTTATGCAGGCCCTCCTCACCCTGCACCTGGATTACGGCAATAGCCTGCTGGTGGGTCTGCCTGCCTCAAGTCTACGCACTCCAATCCTTCCTCCATTCAGCCACCAAAGTGATCTTCCCAAAATGCAGGCCTCACCATGTCACCCTCCTACTCAATAAACTCCAGTGGCTCCCTATTGCCTGCAAGTACAAATACACGATGCTCTGTTTGGCATTTAAAGCCCTTCATAACCTAGCCTCCACCTACTTTTCCACTCTTCTAAGCCTTACTCCCCCAACATGTAATCTTCCATTCACTGACATTAGCCTCTTGGCTATTCCCCAAATGACACCCCATCTCCCGGCTCCAGGCATTCTCTCTGGCTGACTCCCGTGCCTGGAATGCTCTTCCTTCTCCACTCCCATTACTGATCTCCCAGGATCCCTTTCAGTCCCAACTAAAATCCCACAGGAAGCCTTCTCCAATCTCTCTTCGTTCCAGTGCCCTCCCTCTGTTAACTGTTTCCTTTTTATTCTGTATAGAGCTAGCTGTGAATAGATTTGTCTGTATGTTGTCTCCCCTGTTAAGATTGTAAGCTCCTCGAGGGCAGGGATTGTCTTTTTTTTTTTTAATTTTCATATTAGTCAAGTTGTAAAGAAGAATTAGAACCAATAGGAGGAACCACAAGAAAGAAACAAAAACAAAACAGAAGAAAAAAAGGGTAAATAACATGCTTCAATCTGCATTCAAACTCCAAAGTTCTTTCTCTGGATGTGGACAGCATTTTCTATCAAGAGACTTTTGGAGTTGTCTTAGATCCTTGCATTGCTGAGAAGGGCTAAGTCTATCAAAGTCAGTCATAGCACAGTGTGGCTGTTACTGTGTACAATGTTCTCCTGGTTTTGCTCACTTCACTCAGCATCAGTCCATTGAAATCTTTCTAGGCTTTTCTGAAGGGACTGTCTTTTGTATGCCCAGAATTTTGCATAGTGCCTGGCACATAGCAGGCACTTGATAAATGTTTACTCAATGAATTATTTAAAACAAAACAAAACAAAAAACAACCTTTCATTTTGAAGCTAGACCCTGTCATTCCTACAGTAAAGAAGAATCAAATTAATTAAGATGACCAAGATTGTGATTAGATGTCAAATTCCCCCATCCAAGGCCAACAGGAGATCAATCCTATCATTAAGACAAGATCTTATCAATAATGCTAATGAAAATGATTTCCATTTTTAAACAATGAAAAAGAAGAAATTATAAGGTACCTCATATCAAAAACTGACATGGAAAACAGATAGAGAGACAATTTAAGAATCATTGGACTACCTGAAAGCCATGACTAAAAAAAAAAAATAAAAGAACTTAGACATAGTTCAAGAAATCATAAAAGAAAACCACCTAGGATCTCTCAGAAGTGGCAGGCAAGTAGAAATAGAAAGAATTCCCTAATCACTTACTTGAAAGAAACCACAAAACAAAACTCCCAGGAAAGTTATAGACAAAATTCAGAACTTCCAAGCCAGATAAGAAATACTACAAACAGCTAGAATGAGTTAAAACACTGAGGAGCCAGTGAGGATCACACAGATTTGGCAGCTACCACTAAAAAAGGAGTGGTGACCCTGGAAGAAGATATTCCAAAAGGCAAAAAGATAGGTTTACACCAAGAATAACTTACTTGGCAAAAGTGAAGATAATCCTACAGGGGAATATGGACCTTAAAACAGAATACTTCTAAATCTTTCTGATAAAAGATCAGAGCTGAGCAGAAACTCTGAAATGCAAACAAAGGAGTTCAGAAAAATAGTCAAAAATGTCTGAGCAATTAGAAGGGACTACACAAGGATGGAGTGTTTGTACTTTAATGAGGAAGCAGTGACAAGCATCAGCTCAGAAGCCCATTGTCAACAAGGGTTAAAGAGGAAATTCAAGGAAACAAAATGCTTTCAAGGGGGAAAAGAATCCACTAGTCAAGGAAGGAAGGGGCTCAGGGTGGAGAGGGTAGGACTTACAGGCTCACATAAAATGGGCATAAAAGTAAAAGGCTACATAAATCAGGAGGAACAGGCGGCCTGGCTTCACTTTTATTTGAACTTGTCATAGGAGGGTAGAAAACACAGATACAGTTTGGTATAAAAATATATAGAATTTTTTTAAAAGAAAAAAATTGTTTTACAATAATAAACTACTGCTAGATGGCAGAGTGGATAAAGCACTGGACCTGGAGTCAGAAGTTCTGAGTTCCAATAGTGCCTCAAATAACAACTGTGTGACTCTGGGCAAAGTAACTTAACCTTAGTTTCCTCATAATATGAAATGAAGATAGTAACAGTACCTACCTCCTAAAGTTGTGAGAATGTTTGTAGAGTGCTTTATAAACCTTAAAGAGCTAGACAGTTGAAATGTTAGCTATTATTGTTATTACATTACTTGCCCTTTCCTGAATTTGGGACCTGGGATTTCACTGACATAGATACTCCCTTCACTGACTCAAATCACAATCCTCTCAATATCTTAGTAAACAGATTGCAGGAGTTAGTGTGTTTGAAAAAATTCAACTTAGACTGAAGGATGACCTTCTAATGATGAACTTCTCTGAACTTTAACTAGACTGAGCCTCTGAGTTCTTTCCCAGGCTTATATTCGAAGCTTTCCCAGTCTGGTGGGGCCTGCCAGAACTTGTACTTTCCTGGTAAAAATTTTGTCACCTACAGGCCACAATGAGACAATCTTAAAAGATACTTATGCAATTACAAGGATTTAAAAGCAACCATTTAACAAATAGCAAAACCAAGTCATAGACTCAAAGTGCCATTTGCCTAAGGACATATGAGTCAGTTGGAAGTCAGGATAACATCCTGTGTTTCCAAATCAGGTTCAGACTCAGAGAATTAGAGCTGGCAGGCTGCTTGGAGGTGGATTCTAACCTTAAACTTTACCTTACAGATGAGTACCCTGTACTCAGACAGAGTGCTGGGGAGGCTTGTTCTAAGTCACACAACTGAGGATGGCACTAGAAGTCAGGATGGCACTAGAAGTCAGACCCGAAATTTGTAATCCCGTTAACTTCCCATGACATCATGCTACCTCTCCTGGTTTCTCTTTTGCCTAGTTCCTCCACAAACTCAATGACACTGAGATATTTAGTCCATTAACATTAGATAAACAAAACAAGGTAGCACTTTTGGGGAGAGGTTTTTTTTGTTGTTGTTGATGTTTAACATTGTTGAACAAACACCCGTTTCTTCTGTAAGTTTTCTTTTGAATTAGGGGTAATCACAAATTTTTTTTAAAGGTTAAGATTGTGAAAAATAAAGCGCCTGTACTTAAAGAGCCAAATTTAGACGACTCTGCCATTGTGTGGATCTCGTTTTTCAATGTTAGGCGAAATGGGAACTTGGCCTACCAACACTGCCATGTGGTGTTCAGAGTGAAAAGCCAGTGACCTCCTGAGGTGCTGTCCAGGAGGCCTAGGAAAAACCCGAGTTCTCCTATTTGTGAATAGCTATTTGTATCTCATTAGAGATGTCCTGACCTGAACTGCCTGGGGAACGCTGAAGAACATCTCTGTGGGAGGGTGGGACTACTCTACTTGGGGCTATTTTAAAAAATGAACTAAGAGATGGGTGTGCACGTCTGAACACAGGAAAAGGGAAAAGCCACACGTGGTTTCCTCTTCAACCTTGTTACGTGAAGAGCTTGGCTCAAAGGGCAACAATGCTTCAGTCATCAAGACCACTAAAGCCCGAGCCCCAGTGAGTGTCCAATTCCTAACCACTAAGCAAACAGCTTCACTGCTCAGGACTTTTCCATTTAGACCATGAGCAAAACTGCACAAGATTCTAATTGTGAAAGACAAAAGCTTTACTAAGGGAGGATTTTAGGGTTAGATGGGATCTCAGAGACCATCTAGAAGACTGAGGAAGAGAGAGAAGAAATAACAGTCAAGGTCCCATTGCTGGGTGGAGAGAGAATCTTGACCTGAAGCCCTGGTCTCTTTACTCCGCAACTCTTACCACTCTCGGGGACGATGCTCTTTGTATTTATTACTGAGACTTTTCTATCTAAATCAGGAAAATCACAAAAGCTACATATTATCAGGTAAAAGAAGGAAAATGTAACTCATTAGATACACAGTTGAATGAATGAATTTAACTGGACTGGAGTCCTAAATGGGAATGTCCCTTTATAATGTCTGGATCTTAGAATGATAATTAGAGTAGACAAAGTCTTCTTGGGGCTCAAAAATTTTGATTCTATGAAATATCTAGCACTTGAAGAAGTCGTTTCAGCAGAAGTAATATGTCAAAAAAGTTATTTTGGGAAAAAAACATTTCCCATTATAGAAAAAAAAAACCCATAAATCTCCCAAAATTAAAAAACCAGACAAATTAGGTTATGATTCTTCACATTAGTGAAGGATTGATTTACAAAAAGATTCAACACATTTTTTTGAACATTTAAATTTGTTTATATTTTTTTCCTGACAAAAAGGACAGCAGGCTGAGAAATTTCAGGCTAGTATAAGGAACCCTTGCCAAAAGAAGACCAAGCAAAAGCAAAAATAAACCATCTCTGAAATTAGAATCAAAGGGCAAAATGTGTTTTAAGCAACAAAATCCAATTCAAACCTTGCTTTTCTAAAACACTTGATTCTGTTCAACCAGATGCTTCCAGACATGTCTTTTTATATTTTACATTTCCAAAGCTACCAAGCCTCCTATCTATTCAACAAGCTCTAAGTCAAGAATCTTTTGGAGACAGCAGAATCGTTTGAGCCAAAACAGCTGAATTCAATCTCCTTCCTCTCACAAAGAACTGCAAGCAAGCCTGTCTTTTCACCACCAGCCATGCCCTCCGAAGGTCTAGGTTCCACTTTGGGTGGAGGTCACCAGTCAGCTCAAGCTCCATGTGCTGCCACGTAGGGGCAGGACTCACATATTCAGAGACTCACAGCCATTTTTTGACTCCTTGGGATTGCTCACAATCATTTTCTTCTTTGTAAAGGGATGAATTCTCTTCTAACAACTGAGGAATACTTCTTTTACACTTCGTTTTTATTAATACAAGCTAGCTTCTCTTACTTGTTTGGGTTTATGTTTTTGCTGTACATGTGCAAAGAGCCCGTGACAGGAAGATGTCTATTATCTTCCAAAATAACTGGAAACTGAGTTTAGCCGTGGAGTCAGTCCCACATGCAGCTTTAGGTTGAATCTGCAGGACATACTGTCAATGCTCAGTCCCCTCTTGGATGGATCCTGTGTTATCTGACTGAAGAGAAGCGCAGGCCAGACTGGATCGGGGAGATATCCAGGACACAAGAGATACCAAATGAGCTCGTGACTGCACTCTGGGGGCACCACATCACAAGGCAGAGAGGAGGGAAAAACCCAGGTCAGTCACTGGAGCTGACATGCAGTAAATTCTCAAAGTCTTCCCCACCTCCTACACGCTGGGAGTCTCCCAAAGGACAGGCCAGTGAGGCCACAATACAGCTGCTCTACCAGCAGTCTTCCTCACCTCCTACACCAGGTGAGGCTCCCCTCCAGCTTGGCCTCCTTTCTCCTCCAGCCACGGCTAGGCTTTTCATCTAGTTCTTTCTGCGATTTACATGTTACTGAACCTAAATGAAAGAAAGCTCCATTGACACAGATACTAAGTTACTAGGGCAAATCTGTTGATTTCCCTGAGACACAGGTGGGACATTTCCATGGAATACACCAAGCAGACATGGGAGTGTAGCAGCATCCCAGCCAGGCTCTCTACCCTTTCCCATTTTACAAGCTCTTATGTTCTCTCCTTTGCCCTTAACACACCCTATAGCTTTTATCACATTTCTTTGTTTACCTACCGTAACAATTCCTGCCACTGTCTCCCACATGCAATCCAATCCAATCCAACAAGTAGTTACCAAATGTCTACCATGTCCTGGCCAGTGCTTGCTCCTGAGGCCATGAAGACAAAAACAAAATGATCCCAGGAGGGGGATACAATAGGTTCTCTGGCAAATAAATTCTGGTGGGGGAAGGAGATGCAGAGTCTTTAGGCAGAAGTGGATATAAAAACTCTCTAAGGGCAGGGAGTTTTCCTCTGTGTCCTCATTTCCAGAAATTAGCAGTGCCTGGCATATAGCTGGTGCTTAATAAATGTTCCATGAATTGGTTGTTGAACTGATTACAGAGCCCACCTTTATCAACAAATAAATAGAGAGCAAAGTACTGAAAATGTAGTAACAAAGCTAGGTGGGCCACCTGGATCCCTGGAACTCATTTCTAAGTTTTACAATCAGTGATATTTTCTGGAGAAAGCAGCTTAGTCACTTACCGGCTTTTGTAGACGTCCAGCAACATATAAGGTATTCCAAGTAAGCAGATCGTTAATTAGGGTTTCAGTGCTAATAACCCCATATTTGATAAGCTGTGGGAGAAAAAAGAGCAAAACACAACATTAGCCCGTTCAAAGACAAACTGCATGAGTTGAATCCGTGTTAGTTTCCTGGGACCCTCAAAGCGCCTTGTCCAGATAAACCCCTGACTGTACTTCTAGTCATCTCCAAGCAGAAGGGGCAGCAGTGAAATGACCAGCCCCAGGAATCGTTTGCTGGTTTTTACTTAGAATCTGGGGGTGACCTAGTCCAACCTCAGATCAGTCAGACTTTTTACAGTGGTGGGCGTGGAAACCCAAGGAGATTCAAGGACTTTCCTAAGGTCACAGAGCTAGATATAGAACCCAGGACTCTGAGCTTAGGCCAATTCACCACACTACAGATAGTAATTTTCACGACATTAAAACTTTCACTTACATTCTGCTGAATCTCTGGATTTGCAAATACTTTTCTAGCAAATAAAATTTCCCCTTTATCAGTGCTAAAACATTTGACAATTACAGCCAACCTCATTTCAATGATAACAAGCATAAGCCTTGGCTATAATCCTTCCTAGTTTATATAATGCTATTTTCAGCCACAAATACTTCCAGGCTGTCTTGCTGCACTCATACCCTCATACCCAAAAACATTCTTCTTGGGCTTCCTAAGTCCAAAAAGCAGCCACAAACCTTTGATTAGGAAGTCTATTTTCTTTGGCCCCTAATCTTGTGTACTAGGAATGTAAGCATGGTTGTGCTTATTGGGGCTTGTAAAATTACTTGAAAAGGTTTTCAAATTAAAGATAAGCTTAGGGCAATGTTAATTGTGAAAACAAACTGTCATCCCACGCAGATACGTTTTGAAAACAAATCAACAAAACAGAAATAAGCTGTGAACAGCCTTTCTCCCCCAATGTTGGCTTCCCTTTTTTTAATTTTTATTTATTTCTTTAAATTTTTTTTTTTAGGCAACTGGGGTTAAGTGACTTGCTCAGGGTCACACAGCTAGTAAATGTCAAGTGTTTGGTCTGAGGCCGGATTTGAACTCAGGTCCTCCTGACTTCAGGGCCGGTGCTCTATCCACTGCACCACCTAGCTGCCCCTGGCTTCCCTTTTTTTGTTGTAGGCAGCAGCCACCTGACAAGGTTGCTACGGGGCAAGTGCTTCACATACTTTAAAGCTATCTAGATAAGTGATTATTATAAGTGCCTAACTTAATGTGAAATTACAGGTGCTAGTTTGTGAAGATCTAGAAATGTCTTAACAAAAGTTACACAATGCAAGGGTTGGGATGTACATAAGCTGGTAGAAGTACACCTGAGTAAAGAATGCCTGGGAAGAGAGCTAAAGGAAGTGCACGAATCGAGCGTTAGGCGGTGAACCAAGGACTAAGCCAGCTGGGGTGGACCTGGACAAGCTGAGCAAGGCCAGCTTACTGTGCACAGGCAAAGTGGGGAGGGATGTCTTTGAAAGGGGAAATCAGGAGAACCCTGAGACAGGATTCTGCTTCCTCTGATTGGATGACTGGATGGGGGATGGGGGAGATACTGACAAAGAATGGCTCTAGTTTAGTATGGAGGTAGAAAATACAGAAGGCACAGAGAGAAATGAGACTTCTTGTGTATGTAATGAGCTTCCTTGTATGCTTATTTACAAGGGAGACAAACGATACACTGGTATTCTTAATCTCAATGATGAGTTGAGTGAGATACTGCAGATCAGTTGGGTGGGTGGGCAGGCGGGCATGGAGTAGGGGAGGTTAAAAGGCAAGCTGACATTCTGAAAAACAAAATCCAAGCCAGGGACCTTCCTTAACCTGCTGAGTGGTATAAGTGAACGAGACCAGCATGCCGAACAAGAGGAACAGCCAGTTGTGCTGTTCCTTGGGACAAAGCTTAGTGCTTTGTCCCAAGAGCACAGGGAATATACCTTTTGTCAGTGTAAAAGTCTGGGCTCAGAGACCATGTCATGTTCTAAAAATAATACAAAGAACTCATGTTTACATTGCTCCCTGCCCTTTACATAGTGCTTTCTTTTGAACAAATTTGGGAGGCACGTAGGACAAGTGTCCCTATTTTACAGATGAGGAAACCAAGATCCAGAAGGTAATGTTATGTGTCCATAGTTATACACATGTATGTTAATCATAAACTAATATATATTTCTAGTATAAAGCTGTATTCATATATTTTCATAAATTCATATATGTGAAAACTACTAGAAAAACAGGATTCAATATAGTGTTTGGTTCTATAACAGGCTTTTCAGGACTACCTCTGTTCTATATTAGAGGTACAAAAAAATAATTTCCATTAAGATGATCATCTGTGGCAGAGCTGGAGTCTGATGTAATGGAGAGAAGGAGCCTCAAAGTCAGGAAAACCCAGAGTTCCATTCTGTGTCTGACACATACTGGCTATGAAAAGAGAGAAATGACTTGCTTCAGGTCACACAGGCAGACACAGCAGGATCTGAACCAAATCCAGTGCTCTTGTCGCTAAAGTACAGAATCTTTAAGGGCAGCAGGCTCCAGGGAGCACCTCAGGAGGTGAGAAAGGGCAGTGTGGGCCCCTGTACAGGGTAGGCCAAGGCTCCCTCACCTGCCTAGCCCCTCGTCAATATCAAGGAATGGTGAGAGAAGCAGACTATAGGTACTGTGAAGGGCAGAGAGAGTATATACAACCCAAGAGCGATGGAGGTAATGGCCTTATTGGGTTTATAACATGCCAAGCTGTAGCAGTCTCTAAGCAGAGGTGGAAATCACTATGGAGTGGAGGTGGGAACGCCTTCTGCAAGCTTTTAAAAGGCTCTCAGGCTGGAGACACTCACCTGTAAATTCATCATTGTTTATCTACTGTGACTCAGTGGCTTCTATGCTATTATCCTGGAATGCTAAAGGAGTCTGAGAATGACGGGCTCCTGCAATGGGTCACTGGAAATAGGCAGAAACCAGCAGCAATTAGACACAGCTTTTAGCAACTGTTACGTGGTGGCAAATACACGTATGAAGTGCTTTACACAGGCTCAAGTGCTGTAAGCATCACTTATTATGACAAAGATGGTAGCTACAATATGATCTAGAGCCACATGGGGCTTAAGAGCTCATGTGACAAAGGAGAAAGCTGAGGCCCAAGAGGTGAAGGGGCTTGTCCACGGTCACAGAGGCAAGAGGAGAGCTCAAAGTCGAGCCAAGTTCAATGCCTTCCCGCTGAATTCTGTTGCTTCCATGGAATAGTAAAGTCTTAGTCTTCTAAATTGAACTTGACTTCTCCATTTTGAAAATGCAAAATTTCTCCTTCGGATCATTGACTTAGAGCTGGAAGGACCAGGAGTGCAGAACCTGAGGCCTCAAGGCCACATGTGGCTCCCTAGGTCCTCAAGTGCAGCCCTTAGACTGAATCCGAACTTCGCAGAACAAATCCCCTTAATGAAGAGATTCGTTCTGTAAAACTTGGACTCAGTCAACAGGCTGAACCCAAGGACCTAGAAGGCCACAGGTTCCCCACCACTGCCCTAGTGTCTAGTCCAATCCTCCCACCTTCAAATGAGCTGCTGGTAAAGAGGAAAGAACCTCAAATTGAAAGCCCGGAGACTGGGGTGCTGGTTGTGTCTCTGCCATTAGCTAGCTATATAACCTTGGGCACACCCTTCAGAACAGCAATGTTCTTATCTGTAAAATAAGGGCATTGGATGAAATTATCCCTAAGATGCCTTAGAATTCTACCCTTGTAGACATATTTTAATAGCTGTAAGATGACGAAAAAAGGAGGACTTCTGGAATCACTTCTGATGGCACATTATAGAACACCAGATACCAAAACTATGTCTTCACACTGAAATGACTTTCAGAATGTAATCTCTCTGCAGTTACTCACCTTTAATGCCATTTACAAACTATTTCTCATATAAGCCTTTGGTCACAAGGGACTACTCTGCTTTCTGCCCTTTTGCTCACTACCAAACCTCTCATCTTTCCCTGAAAGGATTCCTGCCTTCAAAAGTGGCCTTGAGGCGGCAGAGAGAATGTACAAAGCCCTGGATCTGGACTCAAAAGCCCTGCCTCCAGTTCCAGTTCTGCTGCTTAACACTGCGTAGCAATGGGCAACAATTATTTAACCTTTTTCAGGATTAGTTCTCTCATTTGTACAATGGAGATAATAACACTTAAACAACTTGCTTCACAGGGCTAAGAGAAAAGAACTTTGAACCTGGTGAGTCCCTCCATAAAAAGACACTATGAAAGCCCTGAAGCTAACAGGTGGCTCAGTCCCCAGCTCTCCTCTTATTCCTGCTGACCTGATATCCCTGCTGCCAGAAGGACCCCCAAGAGCTCCAGCCTCCCTGCTGAGGCCCTCCCTCTTCGACCAGGCCCTCTAGCTGAGTGCTTGGCCTATTGGTTCCTGCCCTAACCTCTCAATCTTAAGACTTCTTAGTCCCTGATCTGTATTCTATGTGAACAGTGCAATTTAGTGCAGAACACCAGGTCTGAAGGAGCCTTGACTTGCAGCTCAAATCAGCTATCTATCTGCTGTCTCTCCCATTAGAATGTGAGCTTCTCAAGGGCAAGGACTGTTTTGCTTTTCTGTTTCTATCTCCAGTGTTTGTAAATAGTAAACATTTAAAAAAATGTTTTTTCACTCATTCAACAATCCATTTCTTCGCATCCGGCTTCTAACACTACTTTGTGACTCTGTACTTCATTTTTCTTATCTGTAAAATGGGGATACTTCTAGCACCTATCTTACAAGGTTATTGTGAAGCTCAAATGAGATAAAGTTCAAAGTGTTTTGAAAATCTTAAAGCACCATATCAATGTCAGCTATTATTGATAAGATATTCTGCTGTCCCTTTGACCCTTGGATGCTGTGCTCCCAGTTTCTGTCTGGCATGGCTGGGTCCCAACCTCAGGGCTTAGGCGTGCCCTGGCTGGCCTCTTTCTGGTTCCCCAGGCTCTGCCTCCCTCGGGACACCAGCTTTCCTGGCAGGACAGTGCTATGGCTTCCTTTGTCCTAATTACAAGCCTTACACTTGCAATGGACGCTTAAGACACATGGGTATGGAGCAAAGCAATGTGGCAGAGGGAAGACAGCTAGACTGGGAGAGGGCCTGGGTTTGAATTCTGCTTCTGTATTTGCTATCAATGAGACCTTGGTCAAATCACCCCCTTTCTGTACCTCAGTTTCCTCATCTTTAAAATAAAGGAAGCTTAAAAATAAATACATAAGAGAGAGTTGGATTAGGGGGCCACTAAGGTCTTTTCTGGTGCTAAATCTCTGCTCCAGTTTCTTGCCACTGGTTGAGGTGCTCTTACTTTATGATTGATATACCCCCCTAGTCCAATGCAAGCTGTCCAAAAGCAAAGATGCCTGTGCTCACATAGGGATTGACCAGTGACATACCAAAGGACCAGGCAGGCATCCCTTGGCTTTGTGTGAACCACAAGGCCCTGGGTGGTGTCCATCTTACCTGTAAAGAAGAAGGAAGGAAGAAAGATTTGTCTTGAAGACAGATACTTTATTTTTTCCAGTTATCTCAACAAATATTTTTAAAAGTGAGGAAACCCTTACAGTATAATAGGAAGACAAAGTAAAAGGCCTAATTCCTTCTCAGTCAGGCCATGTTACCACTTACCCAAACCATAATTGTAGTTAGTGAGTGGAATCAACTCCCTACTTTATTCATAATTTAGCTGGAAATCAGATTTACTGAGTTTTCGCATAACCAGGAATAATGACACTAACGATGCTTAATGCCCACATCAGAAACAGGGCGGGGGTCACTCACCTTACCAGCACACGTTATCATGGTATTGTAGTAGATTCCTGCTCCGTAGTTATTCTGCACTTTCGTGATAACTTTTGGCCCACAAAATCTCAAGAAAGAGTAGTGGCTGCGGTTTTGTTGCAAATTCTTTGAATGCCATGTTACTGGGTCATCTACTGTAAACACGAAGTCCAGCATGAGATTCTGTTAAGAGGAAAAAGAAAGGATCCACGTTGAACGCGAGTTACCTGTGAGAAAAATCTGTTCAGGGCCTTGAAGTGAGACGATCTGGGTTTAAATCCCCAGTAGGCTAACTCTCTGTGTGAGTTTAGAGGCAGCACGGACTGCTGGCTCTGGAGTCAGACCCGGATTCAAATCCAGCCCCTTGATACTTAGTATCTGTGTGGTTTTGGACAGGTCACTTAACCTCTATGGGCCTCAGTTTCCTTTCTTGTCCTTTGTGGATTTACTTTGCTTTTTTGTTCCCTTCCTTTCAGGGTCACAAGGTATTACTTGAGAAAGAGGTTCCCCTAGAACAGCAGCAGTGTCCGACAAAATCAGAATACAGAAGAACCCTCACCTGGTGTCCGGCAATGACCCCCACCCCCTTGACTACCAGATCCCCCTTCTGCAGACTGCACGGGGGGGGGGGGGGGGCTTTTGCTTGCCCCACCAAGATGCGCATTTGCAGGAAGCTTTCCGACCCCGGGAGAAGGGGGCGCGCTGGGGGAGGGGAGGGGGCCGGGCGGGGGGGGCAAAGCCCAACAGCGGGGGGTCTGTGGGTGGACCAGGGCCCCGCTGACCAGACGGCATCAAGGCCGAGCCAAGAACGCGGGCCTATGACCCGGGCTCCTACCGGGGTGACCTCCGGCGTTGAAGCTGAGGGACCCCCGGCCAGGCCTGGGGCTCCGCCCCCTCCCTTCGCCTCACTGGTCCCTCTCGGAGCAATGGGGGCACGGCCGCGCGGGGGCCGGGCCGGCTCACCTTGCGGCTGCCGTTGGGCCCCGCCTGGCGGTACACCCCGGAGCCGTAGGCGAAGGCCAGGCTCAGGTTCTCGGGGAAGTTCGCCAGGATCCGGCGGAACGTCACCTCCGAGATCGGCAGCGACATGACATGGGCCTGGCGGGCGTGCGGCGGCAGCCGGGGCCGCCACGGGCTGAGCAGGCGGAGGACGCAGCGGCCACTGAGCAGGCGCGGCGCCGGCTTCCTCGCCAGCAGGGGGGCGGGGAAAGAGAGGGGGCGGCGGGCGAGAAGAGAGGCGCCGCTTGCCCCGCCCCGCCCCCTGGCGGCCGGAGGATCGCGGCGGCCGGGGCCCTGCGCGGGCCGCCCGGGTTCACTCCGCCCTCCTCCCCCTTCAGTTCCGCTTGGTGGCGCAGCGGAGAGAGCGCCGACCTGGAGGCTGGCGGACCGCAGTTCAGATCAGACATCAGACGCCCTACCGTGGGCAAGTGGCTTCAACCTGTTTGCCTTAGTTTCCTCGTCTGTAAAATCAGCTGGAGAAAGAATACTCCAGTATCTTCCAAAGCGAAGAGCCGGACTGAACAACAGCAAACATTATAAAATAATACCAATACACAAAATAAGTCATATTCATAAATTCAAACCTGACCACAGACATTATTTGTGTGTGACTGGACAAGTCACTTAATTTACCGTCTGCCGGCCTTAGTTTCCTCATTTGCAAAATGGAGATAAATAAAAGTACCTACCTTCCAAGGTGGATATGAGAATAAAATGAGTTCATTAATTTAATTAATACAATTATATGATAATTAATTTAAATTATAGTATATTATAAATAAATCAATTGAAATAAATTTTTAAAATGAAATCAAGTGTTTTGAAAATTAACAACAACAAATAAATACTATTTATAAATTTGTAAAGCACTTTGCAAACCTGTCCAAATGCTAACTTATTAAAGAATAGAAGTTGGGGATGAGCAGCGACTGGGGCTCTTTTTTTGTATCCTCACCATCTGGCACCGAGAGGGTTTGGCACCTATTAGGCTTTTAATGAATGCTTGTTGACTTACTAATTAAAAATTAAAAAAATTATTTTGGGGGGGCGGTAGAGACTTGTAACTTCATTGCTGTGAGGAATTTCTGGCAACTCCCTACTTTAAAACAAGGAGGCAAAAATAAAACCCCATTAGGACCAAGGGGGCTAGGAGGCTAGGAGGGTGGGGGGACAATGGAAGAGTCTCTGGCAGAAGGTCCAGGCTCCTGGACCTCCACCCTCCCTGGCCAAGGCTAGGCACCCCTTTGATCAATGCTGCTACATTCAAACAAGTTTCTTGTTTTCATCTACCTCGGAACCACTGGGGGCACAGTTCTCCTTTCTTCTCCACGAAGAGGCCCTTTATCAACTCCAGACCTGGACACTACAGTGTTCAGTCCTGGGGTTGCCTGGCCTCTCAAGCGAAGGGTACCAGTCTCCCGGCCCCACCCAAATACCCAGGTGACACCTTCTTTAAACTTTAGATTTTGGCTCAAGGCTAGGTGTGCCCAAAGGAGGGGAGTGAAAGAATGCTCAATATATAATGGGGTTAAGATAGGGTACAGGCATTATTTCCTAGACACAAAAGTAGTAATAGCTAATATTTATATAATGCTTTAAGATTTGCAAAATATTTCATGTTTTATTGTATATCATAATATTATAGGTATATAATGCATGCATGCATACATTCATGTTATGTAATTATGCGAGTTTTATATGTGAGTATATATACATACACATACACACATACATATATGTGTATATATATATGTATATATATAATCACTCGCTCCTCCCAACAACCTTGTAAAGTAGCTCTTCTTATTCATCTCATTTTAGAGATGGGGAAACTGGCTGAGATTGAATCATGACCTTCCCAAGGTTACATAGCTGGTATCTAAGGTAAGATTTAAACCGGTCTTTAAATTAAAATTTTCTATTTTTTTTTTCAATTAACAAGTATTTATTACTAGAAAAGAAAAACAAAACCTTTGTGACAAATGTGTATGGTCAAGTTGAACAAATTCACGTGTTGGCTGTGTCCAAAAAATGTGTGTCTCATTCTGCTTATTAAGTCCATTAACCATGTGTCAAGCAATGGGTAGCATTCTCCTTCATCAGTCCTCCACAATCATGGCTGGTCATTGTACTGGCCTGGGTTTTTATGTCCTTCAAAGTTCGTTTTTATAGTGTTGGCATAAATTGTTCTCATGATTCTGCTCATTTTACCCTCCATTAGTTCATAGAAGTCTTTCCAGGTTTCTCTGAGAACCATCTGTTTCAGAATTTCTTTGGGCATAATAATATCCCCTTAATTCGCAGACTGTGCCTTGTAAAGCATTCCCAAACTGATGGGCATCTTTTTAGTTTCCAGTTCTTTGCTAGCACAAAAAGAGTTGCTATAAATATGTTGGTACATGTGGGTCCTTTTCCTCTTTAATCTCTTTGAGGTATATGCCTAGTGGTGGTATTGCTGGGTCAAAGGGGATGCCTAGTTTAGTAACTTTGAGGGCATATTCCAAATTGAGGGGCTATTAGACCAATTCATAGTTCTACCAACAATGCATAAATGTGCCTATTCTCTCACAGCTCCTGCAACATTTGTTATTTTTCTCTTTTGTCAGCTTTGCCAATAAGATGGTTTGAGGTAGAAGCTCCGAGTACCTTTAATTTCCTTTCCTCTAATTATTAATGATTTTGAACATTTTTTCAAATGGCTTTTGGTAGCTATTTGCACTGACCATTCAAAAACCTCTAGGTCCATTTCTTCTGCTAGTGGTCATTTTTTTTTTCCTGATGAAGAAACAGTCCTAGTCACTGGCCAGCTCCAGTCAATGAACCCAGGATGTATGGACCTCTAGAATTCAAAAGGGTTACCTCCAAGCCTGAATAGTCCAAGCCTCCACTACGAGAAAGTTATTTGATTGCCTACTCGGGAAAGGCCACATAAAGTGTTTCCAGAGGCCCAGGAGCAAGCTCCCTTGGTTGAATCTGCACTCAGGAGGGAGCAAAGAAGATGGGGGGGGGGGAAGAATGCTGCATTGTCACCCATCATCTTCACCTCTTGCAGGCAGGCCAATGGTGAGGAGGAATGTAGGCCACATGGAGAGGTGGAAGGAAGAGAGTGAGGCAGGAGCTGTTTCTTCTTTTTAATGGATGCATGACCTTGTCCACTGCGGCTGTATGGGGTGGGTGGGTGGGAGAAGGGCCAGGTCCTTTCATCATTGAATCACAAATGGCCAGAAGCAGCCATGGCTTCATCAGATTCACACTCAGGCGCAGCAGGAAGCAAGTAGGGAATCTCTCTACATGCTTTATGAAACCCTTGTTACACACAGAATCACAAGATGACAACCCCCTTTATACTATACTTGGCAAGTGGCCACTCACTCTTTTCCTAAAGACCCCCAGTGAGAGCTATCATCCTCAATTCTGGTTCCATTTTGCTGAAAAAAAAAATCATGCTAATGTTTTTTCTTTACAAACACCTTTATTTTCCTCACTGGGTTATTAGTGGTATTCACTGACAGCTGTGATAGTGTGGAAGTAATACTGAATTTGCAGTCTAAGTATCTGGATCAGAATCCTAGCTCTGCTATTTGTTACCTTGGACAAATGACTTAACCTCACCGGTCCTCAGCTTAGCCTTTTACAAAATAGAGACCAGAGAAGTAAGTGGTTTAGGCGTGGAGCCATAGTATAGCATATAACAGATGGGCAGCTCATGTGGTATTATGCAATGGTATCCGTGTATATTACCAGAACCCCAGGGTGTTGAACACATCCTCTACTGAGGTTCTGTGAGACGAAGTGGACAAGAATTGCCCAGGATTAAAGATTTATGTTTTAATTTTACAGAAGAGTGTTCTGAGTGGGTAGGAGGGAGGAAAGGCCTTCAGAATAGGGAAAGTAGGAGGAAGGTCTTTGTTGTGGTTGAGTCATTCAGTCGTGTCTGACTCTTTGTGACTCTGTGGACTACGTCCATGGGGCTTTTTCCTGGCAAAGATGCTGGAGTGGTTTGCCGTTTCCTTCTTCAGTGTGTCCCCATTTTACAGATGAGGAATTGAGGCAAATAGGGAAGTGTTTTGCCCAGGGTCACACAGCTAAGTAAGTGTCTGAGTGCAGGTTTGAACTCAGATCTTCCTGACTTCAGGCCCAACACTCTCTCCACTGTGCCACCAGATCTTGGAGGGAGGGTGGGGTGGGGCAGAGGAAAAAAGGATAGTGCTTAAGCTTACTATAGGCAGTGCCATTATTATTCTTATTTTTAAAGATGAGGCTTAGGAAGTTTGGAGCACTATGCAACTGAGAGAATGGAAATAGAAGTGGGACCCACCTCAATGTGATGTTATGGAACTAATAATAATTCTATTAATTCTAAACTAATCATTTTCATTAAATTCTAAACTAACAAATTCACATTTCTGCAGCAAGTTAAGATTTGTAAAGTACTTTCCTTATAACAATCCTGCAAATTAGGTAACCCAAGTAATACTACCCCCATTTTACAGAAGAAGAAATTGAGTGTGTGAGAGAGTAATTGACTTGTCCATGTTTTTATAGCTAATAGTATCTGAGCCTGGATTCTGACTCAGATTTCCTGACTCTAGGTCCAACATTTTGTATCAGCACTGAACTTGGAGTGAAAGGACCTGGGTTCAAATCCTAACTTTGATAGTTAATTACCCTTGGGAACTCATTATCCCCTTTCTTGGCTTAATTTTTCCCATTTGTAAAACGAGAGCGTTGGACTTTAGATTTTCTTACATCTTGAAATCTTATAGTCCTGTAATGTTACATAAGTGGATAGAATGCTGGTCTTCCAGTTGGGAAGATCTGAGTTCAAATTTGACCTTAGACCCTTACTGGCTGTGCAACCCAGAGCAAGTCTCTTAATCTCTGTTTCAGTTTCCTCAACTATAAAATGAGATAATAGGGCCTACTTTCCAGAGTTGCTGTGAAGATAAAATAGCATCTTGTAAAGTGCTTTGCAGACCTGAAGGCGATGCTTTCCTATTGTTGCAGAATGCTAGCTGTTGTTATTGTTATTCTTGTTGTTGTTATTATTATGCATTCTAAGTATGGCAACCAGGGACTTTTACTGGCTAGTGCTTGACTTAGTTTAGTAATCAGATGGCTGATC